GCTATTGTTATCATTCTGCATTGTGATGTGTCTCTCTCACCTGGAGCAGGCTATGGTCATCATTCTGCATTGTGATATCTCTCTCACCTGGAAAGGTTATTGTTATCATTCTGCATTGTGATATCTCTCTCACCTGGAGAGGCTATTGTTATCACTCTGCATTGTGATGTGTCTCTCTCACCTGGAGCAGGCTATTGTTATCACTCTGCATTGTGATGTGTCTCTCTCACCTGGAGAGGCTATTGTTATCATTCTGCTTTGTGATGTGTCTCTCTCACCTGGAGCAGGCTATTGTTATCATTCTGCATTGTGATATCTCTCTCACCTGGAGAGGTTATTGTTATCACTCTGTATTGTGATGCGTCTCTCTCACCTGGAGCAGGCTATTGTTATCATTCTGCATTGTGATGCGTCTCTCTCACCTGGAGCAGGCTATTGTTATCATTCTGTATTGTGATGTGTCTCTCTCACCTGGAGCAGGCTATTGTTATCACTCTGTATTGTGATGTGTCTCTCTCACCTGGAGCAGGCTATTGTCATCATTCTGTATTGTGATGCGTCTCTCTCACCTGGAGCAGGCTATTGTCATCATTCTGTATTGTGATGCGTCTCTCACATGGAGAGGCTATTGTTGTTCCTTATTCTACATCGTGGTGGGCCTCCTATTGCCCTAATCCAAATATATCGATTACGCTCACGGGATCTGGAACATTTAACGCTGCAAGGGAGGCTCGCTCTTCCGTCTTCGCAAAAAATGCAGCACGTAAACTGCAGCGGCTCCACATTGTACCCTCGTTGCAGTGTTACACCAAATGCTCGAATTCAAGTCAAATAAAACGTTGAAGTGTCAATTTATACCGAAAAAAAGTTATTTGCTGTTGTTGTTTTACAACTGTTGCTGAGAACAAATCTCATCGCAGTGGTTCACAAGGAAGTTTCCACACCCCCCACCCTAACTTCTCCTAGCCACCGTGGGCACCATCATGGCTAGGGTTCATCATGGACGTGTCAGAGACGCTGAGAGGCTGGGTTCGAGCCCTGGGTCTGAGTGTCTCTCTCTCTCAGTGGGTTCACGATGGCCGTGTCAGAGACACCGAGAGGCTGGGTTGGAGCCCTGGGTCTGGGTGTCTCTCTCTCAGTGGGTTCACAATGGCCATGTCAGAGACACTGAAAGACTGGGTTCGAGCCCTGGGTCTGGGTGTCTCTCTCTCAGTGGGTTCACGATGGCCGTGTCAGAGACAGTGAGAGGCTGGGTTCAAGCCCAGGGTCTGGGTGTCTACGATGGCCGTGTCAGAGACACTGAGAGGCTGGGTTCGAGCCCTGGGTCTGGGTGTCTCTCTCTCAGTGGGATCACGATGGCCGTGTCGGAGACACAGAAAGGCTGGGTTCGAGCCCTGGGTCTGGGTGTCTCTCTCTCAGTGGGTTCACAATGGCCATGTGAGAGACAGTGAGAGGCTGGGTTCGAGCCGTGGATCTGGCTGTCTCTCTCAATGGGTTCAGGATGGCTGTGTCGGAGACACTGAGAGGCTGGGTTGGAGCCCTGGGTCTGGGTGTTTCTCTCTCAGTGGGTTCACGATGGCCGTGTCAGAGACACCGAGAGGCTGGGTTCGAGCCCTGGGTCTGGGTGTTTCTCTCTCAGTGGGTTCACGATGGCCGTGTCAGAGATACTGAGAGTCTGGGTTCGAGACCTGGGTCTGGTTGTCTCTCTCAGTGGGTTCACGATGGCCGTGTCGGAGACACCGAGAGGCTGGGTTCGAGACCTGGGTCTGGGTGTCTCTCTCAGTGGTTTCACGATGGCCGTGTCAGAGACACTGAGAGGCTGGGTTCAAGCCCTGGGTCTGGGTGTCTCTCTCTCAGTTGGTTCACGATGGCCGTGTCGGAGACACCGAGAGGCTGGGTTCGAGCCCTGGGTCTGGGTGTCTCTCTCTCTCAGTGGGTTCACGATGGCCATGTCGGAGACACCCAGAGGCTGGGTTCGAGACCTGGGTCTGGGTGTCTCTCTCTCAGTGGTTTCACGATGGCCGTGTCGGAGACATTGAGAGGCTGGGTTCGAGACCTGTGTCTGGGTGTCTCTCAGTGGGTTCACGATGGCCGTGTCGGAGACACTGAGAGGCTGGGTTCGAGACCTGGGTCTGGGTGTCTCTCAGTGGGTTCACAATGGCCGTGTCGGAGACACTGAGAGGCTGGGTTCGAGCCCTGGGTCTGGGTGTCTCTCTCTCAGTTGGTTCACGATGACCGTGTCGGAGACACTGAGAGGCTGGGTTCGAGCCCTGGGTCTGGGTGTCACTCTCTCTCAGTGGGTTCACGATGGCCGTGTCGGAGACACAGAAAGGCTGGGTTCGAGCCCTGGGTCTGGGTGTCTCTCTCTCAGTGGGTTCACAATGGCCATGTCAGAGACACTGAGAGGCTGGGTTCGAGCCGTGGATCTGGCTGTCTCTCTCTCAATAGGTTCAGGATGGCTGTGTCGGGGACACTGAGAGGCTGGGTCGAGATCTGGGTCTGGGTGTCTCTCTCAGTGGGTTCACGATGGCCGTGTCAGAGACACCGAAAGGCTGGGTTCGAGCCTTGGGTCTGGGTGTCTCTCTCTCAGTGGTTTCACGATGGCCGTGTCGGAGACATTGAGAGGCTGGGTTCGAGACCTGGGTCTGGGTGTCTCTCAGTGGGTTCACGATGGCCGTGTCGGAGACACTGAGAGGCTGGGTTCGAGACCTGGGTCTGGGTGTCTCTCAGTGGGTTCACGATGGCCGTGTCGGAGACACTGAGAGGCTGGGTTCGAGACCTGGGTCTGGGTGTCTCTCAGTGGGTTCACGATGGCCGTGTCGGATACACTGAGAGGCTGGGTTCAAGCCTGGGTCTGGGTGTCTCTCTCTCAGTTGGTTCACGATGGCCGTGTCGGAGACACTGAGAGGCTGGGTTCAAGCCCTGGGTCTGGGTGTCTCTCTCTCAGTGGGTTCACGATGGCCGTGTCAGAGATACTGAGAGTCTGGGTTCGAGACCCGGGTCTGGGTGTCTCTCTCAGTGGGTTCACGATGGCCATGTCGGAGACACCCAGAGCCTGGGTTCGAGACCTGGGTCTGGGTGTCTCTCTCTCAGTGGGTTCACGATGGCCGTGTCAGAGACACCGAGAGGCTGGGTTCGAGCCTTTGGTCTGGGTGTCTCTCTCTCAGTGGTTTCACGATGGCCGTGTCGGAGACATTGAGAGGCTGGGTTCGAGACCTGTGTCTGGGTGTCTCTCAGTGGGTTCACGATGGCCGTGTCGGAGACACTGAGAGGCTGGGTTCGAGACCTGGGTTTGAGTGTCTCTCAGTGGGTTCACGATGGCCGTGTCAGAGACACTGAGAGGCTGGGTTCGAGCCCTGGGTCTGGGTGTCTCTCTCTCAGTTGGTTCACGATGACCGTGTCGGAGACACTGAGAGGCTGGGTTCGAGCCCTGGGTCTGGGTGTCACTCTCTCTCAGTGGGTTCACGATGGCCGTGTCGGAGACACAGAAAGGCTGGGTTCGAGACCTGGTTCTGGGTGTCTCTCTCTCAGTGGGTTCACAATGGCCATGTCAGAGACACTGAGAGGCTGGGTTCGAGCCGTGGATCTGGCTGTCTCTCTCTCAATGGGTTCAGGATGGCTGTGTCGGGGACACTGAGAGGCTGGGTTCGAGACCTGGGTCTGGGTGTCTCTCTCAGTGGGTTCACGATGGCCGTGTCAGAGACACCGAGAGGCTGGGTTCGAGCCTTGGGTCTGGGTGTCTCTCTCTCAGTGGTTTCACGATGGCCGTGTCGGAGACATTGAGAGGCTGGGTTCGAGACCTGGGTCTGGGTGTCTCTCAGTGGGTTCACGATGGCCGTGTCGGAGACACTGAGAGGCTGGGTTCGAGACCTGGGTCGGGGTGTCTCTCAGTGGGTTCACGATGGCCGTGTCGGAGACACTGAGAGGCTGGGTTCGAGACCTGGGTCTGGGTGTCTCTCAGTGGGTTCACGATGGCCGTGTCGGATGCACTGAGAGGCTGGGTTCAAGCCTGGGTCTGGGTGTCTCTCTCTCAGTTGGTTCACGATGGCCGTGTCGGAGACACTGAGAGGCTGGGTTCAAGCCCTGGGTCTGGGTGTCTCTCTCTCAGTGGGTTCACGATGGCCGTGTCAGAGATACTGAGAGTCTGGGTTCGAGACCCGGGTCTGGGTGTCTCTCTCAGTGGGTTCACGATGGCCATGTCGGAGACACCCAGAGCCTGGGTTCGAGACCTGGGTCTGGGTGTCTCTCTCAGTAGGTTCACGATGGCCGTGTCAGAGACACCGAGAGGCTGGGTTCGAGCCTTTGGTCTGGGTGTCTCTCTCTCAGTGGCTTCACGATGGCCGTGTCAGAGACATTGAGAGGCTGGGTTCGAGACCTGTGTCTGGGTGTCTCTCAGTGGGTTCACGATGGCCGTGTCGGAGACACTGAGAGGCTGGGTTCGAGACCTGGGTTTGGGTGTCTCTCAGTGGGTTCACGATGGCCGTGTCGGAGACACTGAGAGGCTGGGTTCGAGCCCTGGGTCTGGGTGTCTCTCTCTCAGTTGGTTCACGATGACCGTGTCGGAGACACTGAGAGGCTGGGTTCGAGCCCTGGGTCTGGGTGTCACTCTCTCTCAGTGGGTTCACGATGGCCGTGTCGGAGACACAGAAAGGCTGGGTTCTAAACCTGGTTCTGGGTGTCTCTCTCTCAGTGGGTTCACAATGGCCGTGTCGGAGACACCGAGAGGCTGCGTTCGAGACCTGGGTCTGGGTGTCTCTCTCTCAATGGGTTCAGGATGGCTGTGTCGGAGACACTGAGAGGCTGGGTTGGAGCCCTGGGTCTGGGTGTCTCTCTCTCAGTGGGTTCACGATGGCCATGTCAGAGACACTGAGAGTCTGGGTTCGAGACCTGGGTCTGGGTGTCTCTCTCTCAGTGGTTTCACGATGGCCGTGTCGGAGACATTGAGAGGCTGGGTTCGAGACCTGGGTCTGGGTGTCTCTCAGTGGGTTCACGATGGCCGTGTCAGAGACACCGAGAGGCTGGTTTCGAGCCCTGGGTCTGGGTGTCTCTCTCTCTCAGTGGGTTCACGATGGCCGTGTCAGAGACACTGAGAGGCTGGGTTCGAGCCCTGGGTCTGGGTGTCTCTCTCTCAGTGGGTTCACAATGGCCGTGTCAGAGACACCGAGAGGCTGGTTTCGAGCCCTGGGTCTGGGTGTCTCTCTCTCAGTGGGTTCACGATGGCCGTGTCGGCGACACTGAGAGGCTGGGTTCGAGCCCTGGGTCTGGGTGTCTCTCTCTCAGTGGGTTCACGATGGCCGTATCGGAGACACTGAGAGGCTGGGTTCGAGACCTGGGTCTGGGTGTCTCTCAGTGGGTTCACGATGGCAGTGTCAAAGACACTGAGGTCCTGCGATTTAGTGCAGTGAGTTAATGGTCTCCGCCTGGTAACCAATGACTCAATGAAGAAAGAGAGAGAGAGACATTTGTATCGGTGGCAATTACCTCTTTAAAACCTACTTTTTTTATCAGGTATGGCCCCACTGAGCTATGTGGCTCTTTTTAAGAAGCGACATGGCCACCAAATGATAGCAGGTCAACGAAAAGTAGTTCATCATAATCACGTGGAAATGTATAGTGGCAGCAAAATCCTCTAAACGCGTGACCTCGATTGTAAATGCAGAGGACCCCGAGACAGAATCCACGGGGAGAGAGAGAGAGAGACGCAGACTCCACAAATATACAGCTGCAGCAGGCGTCGTCAGCACGACCTCCTGTGTACCAGGCGAGGTAGTTAACATCTCCTAACCCACGTGATGATGATGAGAGAGAGAGAGACGCAGACTCCAAATATACAGCAGCAGCAGGCGTCAGGGTCGGGATCGAACCCACGACCTCCTGTGTACCAGGCGAGGTAGTTAACATATCCTAGCCACCGTGATGATGATGAGAGAGAGAGAGACGCAGACTCCAAATATACAGCAGCAGCAGGCGTCGTCAGGGTCGGAGGTCGAACCCACGACCTCCTGTGTACCAGGCGAGGTAGTTAACATCTCCTAGCCACCGTGATTATGATGAGAGAGAGAGAGACGCAGACTCCAAATATACAGCAGCAGGCGTCATCAG